ACACCCCAGCCCCTCCCCCCCAGCCAGGCCAGGACCTAAGAAGGGGCAAAGGAGACCCAGGAGAGGTAGATTTCGGGGTAGGCAAATAGAGAAGTAACTCTGTAAACAACTTGTTGGAAAAATGCAGGGTTATGGGTGTGTGCGCGCCGGGTGCAGGGTCAGGAGGCTGGGGCCTCTGCGCTTTTGTACCCACATGCTTAAGGAACTCAGCCTTGTATTTTCTCGTTTTCTTCTTGCTGTTATGAAGGTGAAAGTCGTCATTGTCCGTGTGTGTAGTGAGAGGGAGGGGTAAAACCAGGAGGGTCGGAGATGTGAAATAGACCTAGAGTTGGATACTTTCAGAGAAGCAGTTTGTTTTTCACAAATAGCAAACCCGGGGGGCCAGCTGCGCCTCTCTAGAACCGCCTGTTTGTAGGTTTGCAGTCCATGCCAGTCGGTTGCACTGGGTGTCCTTTCCGGGGTATCCACACCCATGCCCTTCCCTGTCCGGATCTTCTGCAAGCCCCAGGAGGCGTCCTGGCGCCATTAAGCCCGGCCCCGAGGGCGCGAGAGAGCCCCACCGCCCGCGGGCCAGCGCCTATTCCTTCCCGGGCCGCCGTAGTCTAAGCCTTCCCGTCAGCATAGAGTTACCCTGGCCAGGCCCCTGGGCCAACCAAGTCAGGGTGCGGATGCGCCCAAGGCTCCGGCTTTTGGGTCCAAGTCAACCTCCGTGTTAAATTTCCCTGCAAAGTGAAATCAGACAAATACAAGTACTGCCCCCCAGGTATTTGCCCTCGCCAGCTGACGCCGTGGACAGCCAGTGCTCCCCAGTTGCCCAGATTTTCTGAGGTTACTCCCCACTCCCTGGAGGCCTCCGGCACTAGCCCCGTGTTCTTCTTTGGGGGATTGCGGGGTCCCGCTTCTCCCGCGCTCACGGAGATCGGCCCGCAGCCCGCTAGGCTCATCTCTGTTTTCCCATCGCCCGGGCTGGGGGGCGGGAAGAGGGGGGATGTGAGGTGCTGGACACTGGCGGGACTTGTCGGCTGAGGGGGATGGGAAGACAAGGGTCCGACTGTGTATGTGATAAAACCCGCTCCGGAGGGTGGCGGCTAGACAGGCTAGGGCAGCTGAGGCCTTGGCGGGGATGTCATCTTGGATCTCCCGAGAACCTGCGTGCCCTAACCTCCATCCTCAACTGGGATGGCGGAGAAAGTATCTTTTTGGGGATATTGCCTAGTGGGAACATACAAAACAATCCCCCTTGCTCAGAAGTCACAGGGGTTAGGAGGAAAATAAGAGGGAAATACACAACTAGCCGAGCCAGCGCACTAGCCGAAGTTTCCCCGAGGGCCTGGTGGGGCGGACTGCCTTCGCTCAGCCGAGGGTCCTCGTAACCCGGCTCTGGAGTTTCTAGACCTGCCCCCGGGGCCGAGGCGGCGAGAGCCACTTTCCGAGCCCTGCGCGGAGCAGACCAGCCCCGCTCCCCTCGACCCTCCCTAGCCGCACCCTAACCCCACCGCCAGGTCTTCGGGTCCTCTTCAGTTCTACACCCAAGGGCTCCCCGAAATCTCTCGGTGCCCCCACCCCTTCTCCCCGAAATGGGGTTGGGATTTTATTTATATTTAAGTTCGCAAAATTGAAATCTTTATCCCGCAAGCGAGCGTGGGTACTTAATTAAATTCTAATTAGGACACTATCAATATCCTATTTAGCCGCGTAGCTTTTGTGCGCCGCGGTCCCTTTCAGCGCCGTAAATAGGGTCTCGACGCCTTATCTCGCCTGCAGGAGACGCCTCGAGAAGGGCTGCGGAAGATAATTTATAGGTTTTAATTACTCTTCATTCCGCCTGATCAGCTTGGCGTTCATCACAGGCCTGTGAATAAAACCCTGGTCAAAAGCTCTGTCACATCGCGCTGGCAAGGCGCTTAATCAAAGTGAGCGGCCCCGCGCGCCGCGCCGCCCGGCTCCTCCACGTAATTTCCAGCCAGCTGATAAAGCCAGCTGAATAATGCGGCGGCCCTTTGGAGACACCATTTACAGAAATGACTTTATTGACGGCTTAACGTCGGTAATTCATTTTACCTTTCATGTAGTGGAGCCCGGATTTGTTACAGTAATGGGATGATAAATGCACCCGCGGCCCACGAGCTCCGGCTGGATTAGGAGGTGCGCTGCGTGCTGGCTGGTCCCCCCACCTCCCCCAGGCCGGGCCTGCGCGCGGGATGCTCCGCACCCAGCGCTGCCCGCCCTCCACGACCCCCACCCGAGCCCACGCCCTCTCTCAGGCCTGAGAATGAATAGACTATTGGAACTCGGTGTTCAGGGGTTGGTGTCCTGGCAAGCCCGAGTGAGGCATGAGTGCTCAAAGCGAGCAGAGGTTGGCCGAGATGGGTGTGTGAGGGACCCGGATGAGTCGGAGGGAGCCCAAGAGTAGCCTGTGGTGAGGAAGTACCAGCAGGGGAGTTGTGTGTACAACTATGTGGGTGAAGGGACTGGGTGTGTGTGGAGCGATGTGTGTGCAGTCCTTTTAGGGGTACTGTTTCTGTCTTTGGAAATTAAGGAACTTCTTCCGATTTGATAGATGTCCGGGCGGGGGTGGCAGGGAGGTGGGTTGACCAGAAGCAGTGGGGTGATCTATCAGGAATGGAATGGAGCCCCTTTTTTCCCAAAGCCCTCTGGTCTGGGGCTAAAGGTATGGGAGTTTGGGGACACCCAGTGCCCATTTCTATTGCCTTGAAGTTCTGTGCTGTGCAGTTCCCCTGGAGCAAGAGGCCCCACAGACGGCCACTGACCTAGCCATGTCTCTGCAATAAATTGATTGTCCCCAAGTTCCACTTTCATACCCAGCCCACATAAAAGTGGAGAATGACAATGAAGAAAACGATTTTGTTTTACTTTAAATGCCAAAGGGGGAGCAAAAAAACCCCAAACACCCCCTATGATTTCTTTCTTCATTTGAAGGCTCACGGGGCCCAAAGGGGCTTTCAGTAGTGGGGGGTGGGGTAAGCAGGACAAGAAGAGACCACAAGTCTCTCCCATTCCCAGACTTCCTCCATTCTCTGCGCCTAACCAGGGGGTTCTGCGAGGAAGAGGCACCTGGCCAACCAGACCCGGAGCGTGTGTTTGGATGTTTGAGGGCACTGAGAAGTTTGGGGATCATGCAGTAGGAAGACAGGTGACTGCTTCTCAAGGTGAAGGCTGAGAAATGGCACCTTTGTTTCAGCCCTTGCCCAATCTTGCCAAAACCACTTACCAATGTCTGCGGCCGTGGGGGGCCAGAGCATGCATTTGTTTCTTTTGCTCTATATGTGGGGACCACGGAGAGGTAAGGGTCTGTAGAAGCATTCTTTGTGTGTATTTGTGTGCCTGGAAGAAGGCTGGTCTATGTAGACATCAGTGTGTACACCCAGTCTTCCCCCCGCAGCTGGGCGCAGAGCACTGCGTTTGCTAAGAGTTTCGGTGTATGCTGCTTGGAAAGGAGAAATCGGCCACCAGCCTGCATCGCCACATACTTT